TATTTTTAACAATGGATTAAACAGATTTATTTAGTTTCCTGTCCACAAATGTCTGTGAAAAGATGGTGTTTTCTGGTATATGTTTTTTATTTCAATATATTAATATTTAATGCAAACAAATTACAGCTTCTAGATTTCTTATAAATTGTAAGCATCTGGTACACTCCATTCTATAGCTGCAGAAATTAATGGCAGTATTCAGTCCTGAAACCTGTCAAAATCCTGTGCTTAAGCTTAGCAGTTGAGCATATATTACAGATGATGGGGTAATGCTGGTGCTTCTTCACTGTGCACCCCAACTTTCAATAAACAAATTTCATTTAGTCTCTTATGAGCATTCACAGGAAAACAGCTTTGTTCTCTTACCTACGGTCATTCCATTATAAGTCTTCAATGCCATCTGGCTTTTGTATAAACAAAGGACAGTTCAAAAAGGTAGTTTTGTTTTTAGTTTTTCAAGCAATTCATGTTTTCTTGAGTGTTCTCAAGAAATCTCATTTCAAGTACCTCTAGGTTTTAGCTCTTCATCTGCTGTGTGTCTAACTAAAATCAGTCTCCCCTGTCTTTTCAACAGCTACAAACCACCTTAAATGTATCCTTGTAAACCTGATTACTGACAGAGACTGAACAGTCCAGGCATACCAGGGATAAATACAGCAATTACACCTATTTACAGCTGTATCTCTTCTCTGCATTATTACTATTATTACTAAGTGGTTATTAAAAATAGTGCAGCCTTCAGAGCTATTTCAACTGTCAGCTTGGCAAAGCGAGGGCCATGCCTAGGTTGTGTGTGGTATTTTGGCAATGTTGATGATGCTCGGTGCCATGACAGTGGGCAGTGTGTGTGCCCTCCCAGTGGAGGCTGTGTGGAACCCTTGTGCCAGGGGCTCAATAGTCACAATGAGAAGGCAGCACCTGATTGCCTGTGACAGCACAAACAGCAGAGACAGGTGAACAAACCGCTCTGGTTCATACCTTCTCGTTCCCTGCTTGTGTCCTGGAGGAAGTTTCTGCTCTAGATTTTTGGTCTTTCTATTGTAGCACATCTTGGGTACTAGTAGGCACTGCGGGTTTCACACTGGTGGGTGCAGAGGAAGAGGACCTGCACCCTTCCACACTTCACCCTGAAATGACGAGAAATTGTCCTCCAGAGCAGAGTGGAGTCCTTGACTTAACGTGAGCCCTTCTGTTTCTGCCCAGGAGAGGGCAATCCAGCACACAGACATCAGCCAGCTCAGCGCACCATGTCTTGAGCCTCTTTGGGGTGTCGGAGGCCTGTGTGGTTGGTGCCTGGCCACAGGGACACGAAACATGCTCTGTCTTAGCTGGTGGGGTCTGACGGCACACTTCGACCCAGCTCCCCTTCCTCAGTTGGGAACTGTAGGCCTGTGTCCTGTTGCCTCTCTGCTCTGGTGTGCCATCTCTTTTTGTGTTCACCTGCAGCATTCATGCAAGGGCTGGCTGAGATGCAGAGGTTTCAGGACTGGATAACAAAGGTGGCATCACAGTCCCTCCTTTCCAGGCTCTGAATGCTGGAGTGAGGCTCTCCGCTTTGAGGCACAGTGGTATTTGCACGTGCATACACCTGGGTAAATGCAATTCTGCACATGCTGTTCTATCACCTGTTTATAGCCGTGCACACAACAGCTACAAACATACTCTGATTTTCAGATCTGGGAAAACTAACTAGTTTCTTCCTCTCGTTTTCCTCTACCTCTTTTTTCCTCTGCTCACATTGAACTCACTTTCCAGATTAAGGAATTTATTGATTGTCCTAAATCTTGGATCAGATATTTGCCTTTGACCCCAGAGCCACTTTGGGTAGTTTGATGCCAGTGGCGTGGAGGTTTGGAGCAGCCCAGGCACAAAGCTGCCTGCTCACCCCTAGCTGGCACTCTGGGGGAGCACATGAAACATTAAATGTGGTAAATCCAAGTGGGAATCAAGATGACACTGTCAGGATCCCAGTAACTTTCCTTGCCTTTGATTCTGCCTTCTGTTTTACTGTTCCGTGCATCACACTAGTCTAGATGATAACAGGCAACTGGAAGTGCTGCTGGAGCCTGTAATTAGCAGGTTCCTACCCTGGGACTTGATTCTTGCCAGTAGGCTGTAGGTGTGTGGTAATTTGCCAGTTAATCAATGGGAATTCTTAAAAATTCACTGCATATTTTTGCTTTGCATTAGACCTGCACACAGAAGCTCCTATCTGAGGTGGGGAGGAGCATCTGTGGTTCCCAATCATGGAAGCAAATCATTCACTTCCAGTACTCCTAGTTTGTCCTTCTTTTTTAAAATAACTTTAAAGCAACCTCTGCCTTCCACCCCACCCCAGCCTCAATGAAATACAGTAATGCTATTGCCATGTTTAACTTCCTGGAACAGTGAATTTTAGCCTAGCAAAAAGTCCTTATAACAGATTGAATCTTCAGGCTATGGCAAATTACACTATTTTAAATGATAAAAAGCAGTCAAATATGTTTTTTTGGGCAAATATGTTATACTTTAGATTTGCTTTGCAAACAAAGTAAAATCCGTAACATTATGGGTTGATTATTTTTCTTTTTTTTTTTTGCATTTATTTAAGTAGGTGGTACTTCAGTTACAAAAATAGTGTATATTAGTGTTGCAACTGCGTAATTTTTGGGTCATTTTGTTTTAGGCTTTAAGGTAGTCTTGCTGGGATCTCTTAAAATACCAGGAAGACGCAGGGAGCTTTTTTCCTAGGTACAGGCTTCTCATGTGGCCAGTGAATGCTGGCAGAGCACTGTCACTGTCACTGCAACACTACTGAGCCAAAGGTACATGCTATTTACTGAACTCAGCACCTCCTGTGATGGTACTGGCATGACAACATAGAGTTTCTCCATAACTGGGGAGCATTTAAAGATAGGAATGGAATACCCATGTATTATCTGTTGTTTTGGTGTTTACTGACAGAATCTGTGGGAAGTCTATAAAACAGCTCAACATGTCACTTCTTGTGGAAACTGTGATTCCATAACAATGTCCAGAAATTGTGTAGCTAAACAGCAACTGGTTCATCTAAGATAGTGATCCAGACCAGTGGTCAGTAGAATGAAATGATAAATTTCTGTATTTTATCATAGAATCACAGAATTGCAGAATGGTTTGGGTTAGAAAGGACCTCAAAGATCATCCAGTTACACCACTCCTGCCATGGGCACGCACACCTTTCACTGCACCACATTGCTCCAAGCCCTGTCCAACCTGGCCTTGAACACTTCCAGGGATGGGGCATCCACAGCTTCTCTGGGAAAGCTGTGGCAGTGCCTCACCACCCTCACAGGAAAGAACTTTTTCCTGATCTCATCTAAATCTCCCCTCTTTCAGTTTAAAGCCATTCCTCCTTGTCCTATCCCTACATGCTCTTGCAAAAAGCCCCTCTCTTGATTTCCTGCAGGCCCCTTTAGGTACTGGAAGATTGTTCTAAGGTCTCCTGAGAAGGGAACCCAATGTTTTCCAGATTTAGATAAATGCCAGTGAAAACTGTGATTTTTCAGTATCTGCCTTAAAATATTCCTACATTCCGTTGGGTTTGAATTAATTTTTTGGCAGTGGATGAAGCCATATCATGCTCAAGTATGTTGCAGGATTCTTACTTCAATTTAGGAAATGCAATGGCGTGTGCCTTGGTTTCCCCATCTGTGAAATGGGCGACCCCACAGTGCTCCTGAAAAGGCATCCTGGCTGAGAGCTGCTGTGACTGTGGCTGATTGTTATTCTCTTAATCATATTAGTTAACTAAATCTGTTCCTAGAGTGGTTCCATTTGCTTGAATGAATTTACGTGAGATTAATTCAGCGCTGTTTATTGTTGTTTTTACATGTATTCAGTACTGTAAATAGTGCCTGATACTTTACAGCTGTGTCTAAAGACAGCCTGTGTTTCAAGGGCTTTTTGGTATAGGTAATTTGGAGGCTCCCCTCTAAAACCTCACACTTCCTCATGTAGCGGATGAGCCCATTTTGTTTCCTCTGGATTTAGAGGTCTTTTCGTTCACGTGGTCTCCTCTCCCAGCACTTTCCTGCAAGTATGATTCAACAGATAAAGTTCATCCTTCACCTCCGAAGGGTGACTACTTCCCCTTTGCCCTTCCCTCCTCCTTCGGACGCCCCTCGTCCCCCCAGTTTTAGACGTATTTCCTCTGCAAGGTTCCCTAAGCGCTACAGGATGTATGCGGAGCAATGGTCCTGGAGTACGGACCGGCTCCCACCTGGCCGCCGCCACCCTACAGCCCCACGGCTGTGTTTAAGACGGTCCATGAGCACATGCTCCCAAGCTGACGGAAACGGGCTGCCAGCGGTTGTTCGGGGGGCTCGTTCTCCTACCCGACTCTTTTTTGTTTTCACATCTTGCCGGAGGTTTCTCTTACCAGTATTTGCCAGCTCCCCATTGTGTGAAGTGCAAAGGACGGAGGCTGTTTCTTTGTGCCGGCTCCCGCTCCCCGTCCCCGTCTCCCCCGCCGCCCGCCCTCTCGTCCCCCCAGACTGCTGATGTGAGGTGCACTCACCCCACACACCGCCCCAACAGCGCGGTGAGGGCTGCCGAAGCCTCGGTAGCCCGGCACAAGCTCCCGGAGAGGCAGAGCCGCGCCGAGGGCACGATCTGGGAGCGGGCGAGGCGGCGGGACCGCGGCGGACTGTGTCGGTGCGCTGTGCGGTAATCCCGGCCCCGACACTGCCCGAGCGAGCTCCGTGCGGAGGGGGATTGGCTCAGGCAGCTTTTAAACCACCTATATGCTAACGAGCCTGCTGCCAGGCTCCTGAGGGGTCCTGGCTGGGAAAAATCAACCCCAAAGCTCAGACCCCTGTCAGGCGGAGAGGAGAATTATATTTTTGAACTAGTCTGCGACGCGGACAGGAAATGACCCCTCCAGCAACTGCTGCTTTAAAGCCGAGCGGCGGTGCCTGAAGCTCTCCAGTCTCCGTCTGGAGCCCGAGCGCTTCCCTCCCAACCCCCCCCCCCCCCTTCCCTCCTCCTGCTATAGCGGCTCCCACAGCAGTTCCCAGCCAGTGCGTGAAGCCTGGATGTGTGTGTGTGTGTGTGCGCGCCGCTACTTTGTACTGTGAAGAACACACAGCCCATGTGCTCTGTATGGATGTTGATGATACTCTGTGTTGCTTGAATCGCTGCAAGCAGGCAAGATGTCCAGCACACCACATGACCCTTTCTATTCTTCTCCTTTTGGCCCATTTTATAGGAGACACACACCATACATGGTGCAACCAGAGTACCGAATATATGAAATGAACAAGAGGCTGCAGTCGCGGACGGAGGTAAGTCCCCCAGCCGTGTTTTCCTGTGCATGGACCGTGGTAGGTTTCAGCCCGAATTCCAGCTGAAGCGTCCCACTAGGCAGTACAGTATATGCAGGCACGAACCCTAATTAATTTAGTAGTTTAATTGGGTAATCCCTCATTATGTTTCCACGCAGAGCAACTCTTTGAGGAGATACCAGCTTAGGCTGAAATCTTGAAATTACAGTACAGCACTTCAGGATTGATTATAATGCTGCTCTCAGGAAATTTCTTTGCCTTAGTGTGTTGTTTGCAGCTATAATATTGCAAGGTACCGCTTGAGCTTTTGCACAAAATTGATTCAGAGATGTTGCAGGTTTAGGGGGAGAGATGAACCTTTCTCTAGATTTGCTTTGTGAACTCGTTAAAATTGAAAATGAATGGTAACAGAAAACAGGAGCAGAGTTTTAGAAACTTATTCCTGGGCTGCACTTAAAGAACACATGTTCAAGACAACCAACAAGAGAAATCCATGTTTACATTTAGACTGCAGTTGCTTTTAGCAAGAGAGATGATCGGTTCACGACTTTATCATATAGCTGTCAAAAGTACCCAGTAATGTAAACTATAGTCACTGTTGATTATGCTTTGTATAATGTGTTAGTGGTTATTATACTCTGGCTTCTAAACCCAAATCAGCCACCACAAAGAATATGCAGAATGGCAAGGGGAAATACTTTTGTCACTTAAAGTCAAAAAATATAGTGGAGGCTGCATCTTGTTATTTACATGGTTAAATGAAGCACACTTTTTGGTTGGTTGAAGTGAAAAGTGTGTGAACTGCATCAGGCTGGATTTCTGCCCATGTGCCTGTGTTTGTGCAGCAAACATTCTTAGTGCTGCAGTTTTTCATAGTAGTTTACTAGTGGTGCCTTGTTAAAAAGTATTCATCTTTTATAGTGAGTAGCTTCATATAGAGGCAAATACCTGCCAAATTTGTGCCATGAAGCATGGTAAAGGATCTCAGGTTGATCCGTTTGTTGTATTGTGATTGTTTAAGGGAACACGAGGTTATCATAAAATAAACCACACATGCCTGAATTGTCAGCTAAGCCATGGAGAATCTGTGACGTTTAATGTATATGATCCAGCTAACGAGATGTGACCTGCTTTCTGATTGGGTAACTGCTGTGGAGTAAGTGCTCTTCCAACACGGTTACCACTGCTCCTCTTCGAACATTGCTGTGGAATAATTGCTAAATCCACTTCGTGCTGGCTGAAAACTTCAAGCACTTATTGCTCCCAAAATCACAGCAACTGGTTGTCAGTTTTGCCCCAAGTTGTTGGTTGCAGAGGGTTGCTGCCGTTCAGAGGATGAGGGGACTTGGTGGGGATTGTTTGCTACTGTTTGTTTGTTAGCACCTTGCAACTCTGTTCCTTGCATTCCTGTACATATTGATGAAGCAATTTATAGACTTTTTCAAGGGAAAAGAACAAATATGTATCATTAAGTGATTCCTTCAGCTGTTTTGAAAAGCTGTCAGTGCTATTTTAGCCTTTTTACACACTTTTAAAGTGGTACTTTGGGTAATTGTTCAGTTTCTGATTGCAGCTCCTTTACAGATGTTACACCAAAAAAGTTTTGAGGGATTTGTGAAGCAGCTTCGCCCTCCTGCATTGCTGAGGTGTGCTCAGACTTCAGTGTGTTTAATTGCAGTTTTTGCTATGCATATTCACAGGAACTGTTGTGGGCAAAAAGCAATAACCTACTACCCTTCCTTGCTAGTACTGCTATGGGTTTCAGTAGCATTGTACTTTGACAGACAGTGCTTAGTTAATGAAGGCCTCATGCTCCAGCATTTCTTGTATTTGCTCAGAGTAAAAATACTTTTGCCTTGTGATTGCTCAGTGTTTACATTCTGGTTCTGTGTTTTCTAATTTCTGAGCTCTGTGCTGTAAGCACTGTTGTTTGTTGAAATGTAATTTCTAGCCAGCTTCATCTCAGCTCATTCATCCTCCAATTAAAACACCTTCCTTAATAAAACTAAAAACTGAATTAGTTTCCTGGGACACTTGCCGTGACTAGGTGTGGACAGCCTGTAAAGAATCATGCTGGCTTCTGGGGCACGTTGGGAGTAGAGACTTCACATTTATTTTATGCACTTCCAAGCATGTTTGGGATTGGTAGCTGAAGGTTTCTGGAGAATGTATGACTAGCTCTGGATTTTTTGAGTCCAGACTGATGGAGCCCTGTATGTCACGGAAGGAATGTGCTTGTGGTGTGGGTGATACGGGCTTACTGCATGAACGTTTCTCTTCAGGCAGTCTTTGGAATAATGTAGGCACTGGTCTCTGAAGGAGGCCGCTTGTACTCTGTGAGCCCCAGGGGGTAGGTAAGCACAAGCAAAGCAGCTTAAAGGGAAAGGAATTACAAAGAAACTTTCCAAAAGACTGGGGGTAGCAAGCTGTCAGATTCTACCTGGACCTAGCTTCTGGAGAGAGCCAGCAGAAAGTGAGGATGCATTAAAAAATGAGAACCTACAGCTCTTATGCCAAACGTACCTTTGGAAAGCCTTTGGGATTTTCCTCTTTTCCTATGAAATAAAAATGTTCTTAATAATCCTGTAGAGTCAGATTCTCTCCTGTCCCTTGCAGTGGTAGAATTTCCAAGGCAGAGCAAAATGTACATAATCTAAGTTGTACAGAGGATACTTGGAGAGCTTATGAAAAGATTAGCTGTGTGTCATGTCTATCAGTTTTCTCCCCTCCATGTGTAGAGCCTGCCTTTGTAGAAACTCCTGTAGCTGCTCTCCAGAGCTTGCAGGTAGGTGAGAAATGATTCAAAAAGAGCAATGGCTGGTAGAGACACCATTAGAGAACCCACCAATAAATGCCATTTCAACTCCTGCTCTCCCAGCACCAGGGTCTATGGTATGTTTGGAGAGATAGAAGTGTCCTCAAAGTGGCTCTGCGCTTGAGGACCCTCCCTGGGAAATCCACTCCTCCACTCTGGTTTCTGTCAGCATTGGGTGGAAGGGAATAATAATCAGTGTGAAGGATGTGCTCAGTGTATTAAGCAGATAAAGTACAGATTTGATTAAAGAAAGGTCATTTAGATGCAGCATGGCTATCTTTGTTGTTCGTGTTTTCTTTAGGAAGACATGAAAGTAAAGAATTAGCAGCTCTAGCCTGGTCTAGATGTGCAAACTATTGCTCTCCAAACTTCTTACAACTTTATGGGCTCCTCAGGCAGAACCTATAACTGCCTTTTTACATTCAGGGTCAGTCTTAGGCGAAGAATTCCAATCACACTCAGGCAGGGGGTGGTTTTATGATGTAAGTACTGGCAGAAGTCCACCACCTAGCTAATTCTTATGTGATCTAAAGTAAATTAGGGAGTCTGAGTTAGGAACTCATGTGCAGAAACACCTTACCTCCCTTAGATATTGTTCAAAGAAATCTAATGTGGTAATACATTTTTCTAAATGGAAGTTAAAAAGTGCTTTCTTAACAATACTTTAGGAACATCTAGTGCCATTTTGTAATGCATCAACAATCCTAATTTAGAGAATGAAAATGAATATTTAAATGTTTAATAACCTCTGATAAAGATAAATCTTATTTACTTCTATCATAGTTAATTAGCTTTCTGGTTAACCAAAATGCAGCTGTTTTCTTGCTCTGTGTGTGGTTTTAAGGTTTTCATTGCCATTCATTCCAGTTCAGTTTATCTTGATATTTTTATATCTGTTAGTTTAACATTTCAAGAAAGCAATCCTGTTGTGGCATAATCAGCAGTTTCTAAAGTTCTAACTAGCAATATGCAGCATAGGTAAATTGGCTTAAACATTTTCTCTGTTTTTCGTAAAACTTGATGTTTAAAAAAGCCTCTTTTCCTCTTTGATGTTGTAAATCCTTTTCTGTTCTAATTTTTAATCATTTGAAATTGCTCGCACTTAAAAGAAAACAAATGATGATTATATCTTGTGTATAATTATTTTTCAGTCACATTACAGTACACTGTGGACAGATCACCTGAAGTTGCTGACAGTTTAAAGTTTGAGGTGTTGCTTTATTGCCAGTAATCAAAGAAATGTATCAAGCCTTTCACATGCTTATTTAGTCCCCTATATTGTGAGAACTTCTGCATATCACAATATATTAAATTCATCTGTATCTCTGTCACTACAAGAGATTATGCTTTACATTGCTGTTCTATGCAAAACACAACTTTCTTCTGGCCAAGAGAGCAGTGGTTTAGGGGTGACTAGAGAACTTTATTAGTAGCATGTTGGTTTTAAAGACAATCAGCTTAATCAAAGCATATTAAACTCCAATTAAACTGTATAGTGGATTTAACATAAGTAGAGATTTTGTGATGGAAGAAAATTTGAAGAAAATTAAAAGGAAAACAAAGCAGAATCTTATGATTATTTAAAAGCTCTTAAATGAACTGGAAGCCTATGCAGTGTTTTATATTCAACCAAATATTTAAAGCAAATCAAAGCTAAACAAGATTTCTGCAGTTTAATGGAAGTCTCTTATTTTAATTCCTCACATTGCTAGCTGATGAAATAATCTTTTCTTCTTCTTTCTGATGCATTTTTAATAGATTGGTCATAAAAATCTATGTTGTGACATCACATTTGTTCACATAGCAACTTAATATCGCAAACAGATCTCTCATATTGTGTACATGAGTCTGAGTTTGTCCAATGAGTTTGTTTTGACGAGAGGAAAATACATAAACTTATATGTGAAAGCATTTTGGACGAAATATTCTTTCACCCACAAATATACTAATACTTAGCGATTCTAGGAACATGAGTGAAGTATTTTAAAAAAGCACTTATAAACAGTGCTTTGCTGAAATGAAAAAGGTCAGTTTTAAAAGAAAACCCTTGAACTCCTTTAGGTAGAATGGATTCAAGGCTCTTTTTACTGATTGTCTTTTATTTCATACAGTTTTTTCATCCCTTAAAAATTCAGTTGCAGCTGTTTTCAATTAAAATCGTTACAAACTGACAATTCTTATGAGG